ACAAGAGCTTAAATAAGACTTAAGTGACAATGCAATGTAACATAATGTATGAAACACAGCCCCAATTAATTCCTCCTCATGTTAAAAGCCTGATATGATACATTTTAGACAGCGCTCATGTGTCTTAACAATACATACATCTAAAAATAAATAAGTAAAATAAGTCTGAGTATTTAACATGGAAATTGTTTAATTTTCTTATATAACATACAATATGATCACAAATATGTTCATACCTATGACAGTAACTGTCACTCCTCTCCCTACATCTCTATCAAGCTATCCTGGGTGAATTAACCATTAATATGGAACAACTTTTAACAACTGATATTTTGAATCTTGATTTGGTTCAATTGTGATGAGTAGGTGATTATAGTAGGGTAGACATGAAAAGAGAGCCTGATAGTTCATGAGAACTATACCTATGCGGACATTTGAATGAATCTGGGCCCTTAAAAGAAAAGCATGTCTTCCTACTTTAACAATTTAAATGTTAAGCTCCATCAATCTCTTAATAATCTGTAGTAATAACTTTTAAAAATTAAGAATGTCAGCTTAAATTAATAGGTCTGAAGACACATTAAGGAAAAAGACTTGGAAAACAAATAGCTAAAAATGAATTTAAGGACATGAGAGCATACCATAGTCAGAATCACACAGATGTCTTTAGTCACCTGTAATTAGTTCTTGGTAATAAAGCTAAGACTACTTAAATATATTATTATAAATATACCACACTGAAAACATAGATATAGGTCTAAATCTGGATCAAGGAGAAACAAATGAATCAAATGAATAAAATCAGTTTGGTTTATACTTCTGCTCCTAACGGTAACTGGGCTTATAATGCCCCAAATGGAAGACCACTATTACTGAATTAACATGTGCACTTATTTGTATAAAGTTCCTTGAATTCTCTTAAGTACCAAATTTCATAATGAAAAGCTAGATTCTTCAAAAACAGTTATGCCTATAATTGAATGGCAGAAGTCCTTAAACAAAGTCCTTTAAGACAGAAATTATAAATAGAAGCCTAACCTGATAAAATGATAAATGATTTATCAAAGCAGTGTCAGATTTTTAAATATGATTTCTGTTTTCAAACATATGCTTTGTGTATGTGTGTTTGTGGGTGTACGTGTGTGTTTTGTTGAGGGGTGCATTTTCTTAAGACATTCCATCAATAGGTTGTCAGAGTCAACATGAGTATATATATGTAAATCTTGATTTGATGTTTCACATATGTTTACTCTGATGACAAGAGCAGAAGGAAAGATTTAGAACCAAAGCCCAGTTTAAATCCTTTGATAATTAAACATATGGTCACTCAGACTTCAAAGTGGTGATCCTGTTAGATCCCATTAGATTTAAGATCTACATGTTCCTTCTGATAGGGACACAAACCCCAAAAGGTGATGTATTAAAAGTCATGGTCAAGAATGTGTTGTTTGTTGCAATAGGTATCATTTGAGAATATGATGTTTAATAAGGCAAATTAGTTAAAGGTCACAGCTATAGGAACTGTCTGGTTTCATAAAGCACATTGAACAACTATCAGAAACATATAGCACTGTTATTTATCTTATACAGTAAGACAATTCCATTCATGCTTTATTCTCAAGCATTTTCTTTATTTTCTTGTTATTTAAAAACACCAGTATTCTCATTTATCCAATTGGAAAGAAAATATCCATTTGTTGCTTGTCCTGTCACCCTCTTCCTAAAATGCCAAAGTTTTCATAAGCTGCACAATCTCGATAACATGCAAGTGTTCCTGTTACAACTAACACCTCTAAAACTGAAGTTGGCATGGTAGAAACTTATTTCACTCTGGCATAACCGTTTAATCTGAAATAAATGCATATTAAGCTAAAAAGTTACATGTGTAAGTTAAATCTGAAAAACATTAGAAGGCATCTCAAACAATATCAGAATGTCCACTTTCACTATTTCTTTGCTATTTTTAAATACAAAAACTAGCTAAAGTATCAGGTGATTTATAAGTAATATTTTTAAAACAAAATTGCCTTGAACATGATCCTGCACAATACTCATGGTAAATCACCAACTGTTTCAAGAAATGACAAGCATATCATCAAAAAAGTAATATTGCAGCCCACGGTTTCCTACTAGTACATTGAATCAGGAGGTATTATGTTTCCAGGTACTTTGGCAAATTCTCAAATGCATATAGTATCACACCTCTCATAGATATTTGAAGCTGTAAAGGAATCTATAAATTATTTAGGGCGAGTGATTCAGCTTGCAGATCAATTTATAGCCTCCAAATATTTTAAGCTGATATATCTTTTCTTTATATTAAATGAGAGAACTTTTCACTTGTTAAAAACCACATGAAAGTATTCACCCCCAAATGATGTCGTGTCTCAGTTTACATTCACATAGAAATATTGAGAGATGCCACCATTCAGAATCTCTAAACTGATTTCTTCAATTCTGCAATGAGTGTTAAAGAATCCCAGCCAAGTTAAAGACTTGCAGAGAGGGGCAAATTCAAGCAGTAAGATGAGCTAGAAAAAAGCAGAAGACTCCTGTTTCAATATCCCTTCTGCTAGTCCTCAATTCCCATTCATAAACGACTAAATGAACAGAAAAAGAGGGAGGTAGAATTCAATTTGTAGTGTGTAGGCTCATGAGCATAGCTTGGTAACTTGTAAGCCTGCATACATCTCCATGCTAATCAATACAACCAACAAGTTTTTATTAAGCATTTAACTAGCTTTCCCACACTGCCCTAGAGTCTGCATATCTGTGACCAGGTCTGGTCCCATTCTAAACTTTGTGACCCAGAATGTATACCAGCAGCACCCTATAATTCTTTTGGAAAAGATTTCTCTCCTTACTCTCCAAAGCGGATTCTGAGACACAGTGCCCCTACTTAAGCAAGTAGCTTAAGGCCTGGAATGGGATGAGCATCACAGAAATGGTGAATTAAAAGGATTTATTTAAACAAGCAAGAGAAGCCAAGGAAATTCTAAATGAAATTGAAATTGGGCAGGGACATAAGAAAGAGATGTGAAATCCTGATTTGTGGCAAAGGGTGAAGGGAAATGCACGGTTTGTTTTATGTTCAAAGTCTGCCTCGGGCTATGAAAATTCTCCAAATCTATCCAATTCAGAAATCAAACGAACACGGTTTCAATATTAAGGTTCTAATTCTGCAGGAGAGGAGGAATTTGCATAGATCAGGGGAAAAGGGAAACATTAGTAGTGAATGCAAAAGTCATTCAGGAAAAGGGAAGGATGTGGATTAACACTAGGAGAATGATCCTGGAAAATGAGAGGTCCAAAGTAAATAACTAATAGGTTGATCTTACTTTTCAATATTCTCAAACCAGCAGGTTTCCTTTAACACTAGAGGGCATGAACGCGCGCGCCTGCACACACACACACACACACACACACACACACACACGAGGGAGGGGGGAGAGAGAGACACGCTGAGCAAAGGCAAAGGCAGCTTTCACATAAAGCTAAGAATCTGGGGAACCACAAGGAAACCAGAAATTCCAAGAGGGCTTTGGAGGTCAAGTGTCTTTAGTCCCTGCATATAAAATCTCTAAGTTGTTTCTGGCAAGAGTGACCACGATCTCTCCCAAGAAAACCGTTCTCCTAAGGAAGGACTAAGTGGATGGCAGTTTAAGGCAGGCATGCCTCCTCCATGCCCAAAGCTCTTCTCTTCTGCTAGCAATACCTTTGCCTGACGAAATCTTCCACCCATTCAAGGTTAGTTTTCCCTGAACCTAGAAGCATCTATGTTTGCCTGCCTACTCTTCCTACTGCGGGTGCCTATAAAGGCTGGCAATGTAGACTTTGCACCTGAAAATTCAACTAACCATAGTCAAAAAACTGGCTACTGGGAGGGGCTCCCGCAGCTTTCGCTACCCAGATCAGCAGCCTCAGTGCGCTCGGGTTCGCAGCAGCGCAGCGCCTCGGACCTACAAGGGGAGGCTGGCGGGGCGCCCTCCGCTCTACCCCTTGCGCCCCGCACTCAGTTCCAAGACAGCCCAGACAAGGGCAGGCTCCCTCCATCTCCGCGCCCCGAAAACCCCAAGCTGGGAGGTCTCTACACCTAGAAGCGCCCAGACCGTGGGCTGAGGCATGCATCTTGACCAAGACGCCCCCAGGGATTAGGGGGCTGGTGCTCCAGAAGACGGGGCAGGGAGGTGGTAGAGGGAGAAAAAGATGGGCAGCAAGAAGCTAAAACAGAGAGGGAGGAGGAAGAGAGAGGGAGATGGAGAGACAGAATGCTGCAAGACGGAGAGACAGGCGGGAGAGACAGAATAAACGGGACACAGAGACATCCCAAGAAAGACAGGAGGAAACATAATGAAAGAGAAACACGACCTGGAGACCGGGGTGAAGGGTGAGGGAACCAAGAGCCAGAAAGAGAATCAGAAACAGAAAGAGACAGAGATAGAGACACGTAGAGATTGAGAGGCAGGGACGCCAAAAGAGAAAGGCGAAGGGAGGCAAAAAGAGAGGAAGGCAACCGTCGAGCAAGACACCCCAAACCCAGAGAGCGCCTAGTGTCGGGCAGACGAGAAACGCCCTCACGGCAGCCCGCCGCTGGTGAGAGAAAGTTGCCAGGGCGGAGAGGCCGGGCCACCCCACCTCCCCACCGCCCGGCGCCACTGGCATGCAGAGGGGGCCAGCGCCCCACATCTCACTCCGCCTAGCAGCCCAGAAGCGGAGCAGAGGGCGGGCAGCGGCGGAAAGTTCCGCGCCTGGAGATCCTCCCGCCGCACCTGCAGTCGCGGGGCGAGCGCTCTCTCAGCTCCCGGGAGGCCGCCTCGCCGGGTCCGCCCGAGCCCCTGTCCTTGCCCCGGGACCGGCCCGGGGCGCTCGACTCGGCGCCCTGGCACTCGCTGCGGGACTTCGTGGCGCTCAGCCCCGGCACTCCGTCAGCCCAGAGGGGGCTTGTCCCAGACAATCATGAGGGAAAACAGGGGGAGCGAGAGAGAGAGAGAGACGGAGACCTGCTATCGTGGCCAAGGATCCCGCGAAGAGGGCACGGCAGTCCACACACGGGATTCAGCCTCCGATCCAGCCGGGCCGGCGCCGGCCGGCCGCACCGAGTGCCCGCTCGCAGAGCCCGCGCTCACCTGGACCCCGCGCCGGCCCGCGAGCGCCGCGCGCAGCCCGGGCTCCCGCCCGCGCCTCTCTTCACACTTGCCCGCGGGCAGCGCGAGCCGGCTCCGGCCTCGGCCAGCCCCAGAGAGGCTCCCTCATAGCGCAGCGGCGGGCTGGAGGGCTCCGCGAGCGCGGCGAGAGCGGACGCCCAGGCCGAGGAGGCGCCCGAGACAGAGCGAGGGCTCCTAGCACATTGTCACCTCAGCAGAGCCGCCGCCGCCTGGTCACTTCGCCCCCGGCCCCCGCCCCCCTCCCACCCCAGCCCGCTGCCTCCCGCCCCTCCTCCTCGCGCGGTCCCTCCCCCTCTCGTAGCCCCAGCCTGGAGGCCTCTCACTGGGCTAGTATCATTTACGTAACCAGCACCCCCGGCCCTCCTCCCTCCCTGCGCCCGCTCCTCCCCGGGCTGGGGCGGTGCGCACCGAGCGCGCTCCAGCTGCTCCTGGAGCTGCGGCTCCTGCGATGTGCACAAGTCCCGCGATACTTGGCAGGCACGGCCCCCAAGAGCAACTGTGGGGTCGACTCTTCTTCTCGGAGGGCGCCTCGCGACCCCGGTCCTCGGGTCCCCACGGCGCGAAAGCCGGCTTCCGTGCGCCGCGTTCGCCCGGCGCACCAGCGAGCCTCTGGGAGAGAGCTGGAGGGCCAGGGACTGCCCTCGGGGAAAGCTCCGTCCGGCAACCCCACCCTCGCCGTGCGTTCTCCAATGGAGAGGTGCTGCGGGGAAACTTGGGGTTCCAGCGCCGTCAGGCAAAAAGGACAGAGTTTGGCCTCTTGCCCATGACAGTTCCTACACCCGGACAGGATGGTGGCTACTGCCACCGAACGCACTGAGAGAGAACTGGGAACGCAGAGCGCTTCCTTGTGCTCTTCAATATTTCAGGGAGAAGTAAAGAAAAAAGTGACGCTTTGAATTCTTTTTTCAGTCAGGAATGTATAGAATTTAACACACACACACACACACACACACACACACCCCGAAGTACCTGAACACCCGCATGTCTAAGTTAATGAGGTGTACTAAATGACTTAAAATATATGTAAGGACTTTAGAACAGTGCCTGGCACAAGGCGCAGACTTACTGGCATCTGGAAGACGTTGGTCCTGTTGCCACTGCCACGGGGGAGGAACTTTCCTGGCAAATTGGAATTGCTGAGCTTAAGTCCCTGCTTGATCATTTATTCACTGTTGGTTGTTAGTTAATTTTGGCCCTTGGCTTTCTTCAATCTCAGGTTTCTTATCTGTAAGAAGTGGTGGCAGGGGTCGTTTATTCCTCTCGCAGTATCACTTCACGTGTCTTATAGTTTATTTGGCAGAACTGGGGGAAGATATGACAGCTACTTAAAAAATATTAAGAGCCACATTTTACAAACATATGATACTATTAATTATAATCTAGTATGTCAATGGCATTCTTGATTATACTCATGAAATGCAATTTCTACAGACATTATCTTTATATCTTTTCATGAATCAATTATCATTAAAATTTGTATGATAATATCTATATTAATGTCTCTTCGTACATTGTCTATCTTACCCCAGCATCACTTATGGAACATCTACCAGAGGTGTTTCTGTGCATGTTTGAGGACACAGGGGCCCTCTCATAATACCCGGGACACTCTAAAATTTCTCTCTACTTCTCCTCTAGTGAGTCCCAGTTCTGCCATCAAGTAACTTACTGAGAAAAACTGGATCAGCAGGTAACAGACTGGGTTTATAATAGTGGGCCAGCCACTTACTAGACATTTATTCTTGGAAGACATAAAGCCCTCATGATTACAATGTTTATCTCTTTTAAAAAGAAAAAAAGAATAATACCATTTTGGAACCTTTGTAGTAATAGTTAATTTAGGCAACAACCATAAATTTACTTGGTAAAAGTTATATGTGCAACTGGATATTTACATAGTTCCAAAGTACCTCCCTAAAAAGTTTTAGGTGTTGCTCATAACACAGCATCCCAAAATGTATTGGCCCCAAACAATAAACATCTATAATTCCTCAAGGTTCTGTGGGTTGTCTGGGAGGTCTTCTGTCCTGGCTGGTTCAGTTAGAAGTCTAGAAGTCTAGAATGGCCTCTCTGGCCTCTCTGTGGGGAGGTGAGCAAGCTTGTTAGTCTTGGGGACAGGGCTTAGCTGCAATAGCTCATCTTTGTTCAACCTAGCCTGTCATCTCTCAGTAGGCTAGTAATAGTGGTATTAATAGTTGTAGTGTTCCAAAAAGCAACGAGTGAGTATAAGCTCCAATGTGGAGCACTTTTCAAGATTCTGCTGTCATACATTTGCCAATGTCCCATTAGCCCAAGAAAGTCACATGGCCCAGCCATGGGTAATATAATCCATGTCTTGATGGGAGAAACTGCAAAGTCATATTGCAAGGAGAATACACATACAAATGAGAAACACTGAAGCCATTTTTGTAATCTATCATAGATTCTTAATTGCAAAGAAATTAAAAATTACCTGTAATGGTAATTTTTAGGCATTACCTTAACCAAGCAATCAAGGTCAAAATCACCAATAATGCACCAGTGACATCATTAACCTCAGGATGTGATACACTGAGATGTGCATAATATTATTTATTTAGTATTCCAGACAAAATGCATAATTTAATGTAATCACAAGGAAGCAAAGACAAATTGAAATTATAGGAAATTCCACAAAATATCTTGTCTGTATTTTTAAAAAATGTCACTATGATGAAAGTCAAAGAAAAGATGAGAAACTGTTCCACATTAGCGGAGATTAAAAACACATGATTACTAAAGGTAGTGTGTAATACAGAATTGGATAGTGAACTGGGAACAATATCTATAGAGGAAATTATTGGGACAATTGGCAAAATGTGAATAAATGCTATATCTAATCTATAGGCTTTTTATTTATGATGTATTATAATTACTTTTATATCAATAAGTGAATAATTTTACATTTCCTTAACCTTGAAGTTATTTTTTAAAAAATGGAGCAGAATCTTTACTTATCTCACAGGTCGAATAAATGTAATAATTTATCTGAATAAGTGTTGAAAATAATAAAAAGTTATATTGTAATTTTTTTCAAATAGAAAGCTAGGAATTTATCTTTAATCAAAGGGGAGCTATTGCAAGTATTTATTTAGATAAATAGGATGACCAATATTGCACAATTGATTGGCATAAGGCATACAGTGATTTTGATTGATAATATATTAAAGACAGGGATATGAGTTTAGCAGCTACAACTGCCCATTCTGTGATTAACCAAGGCCCTAATTCAAATGGGATGTGAATGATTAGATAGATATACCTTGCTGAAATTAAACTATCAGGTTTTAGCAAATTATTAGAAATGAAGGAAAGGGGGAAAAGGTGTTAAATCATTTTAAGATTGGATGAGGAGGACAATGGAGATGCCATTATTAAGAGAAACAGAGAACAAGAACTTTATTTCCTAAAATGAAATGTGATAAGTTTTTTTCCTAGTTATAACATTTCAGAGGCTTCTCACTGCCTTTAAAAAATAGTCTAAAATCTCTAACATTACAAGCTTACAAGAATCTTTATAATCTGGGGCTCAGCTTCCCTCCTTACTGCCTACAATGAGCTAAGTACTGAGGTAGGTGTTGAAAACAAACAGTAAAGTAAATATGGCTCTCATGGAACTTAGAGTTTAGTCAATCATCCAGTGAATATACATTGAGTGCTTATAGTATGGCAATTATTTACTGGGAACTGGGAATACAGCAGTGTGCAAAATGACAAAGACCCTGCTTTCATGCATACTACATCTTAGTGAGGTATTTCCTAAACAGATAACAAATAAATGTGTACTTATGTCCAGTGACAATAAATTCTAGAAGAAAATTGAAATGGGCTAAGAGCTGAGCTTTCTAAATAGTGTACCACAGATGGTTTATAGATATGCCATGACATATTGATCACCTCACCCATCAGAAATGGCTAAGTAGTGTTGCTTCAAGTAACTAGATCCCACAGTTAGGTAGCTTCTGGTCATAAGAAACTTGTTAAGGGCTTCTTGAAGATTAGCCTGCTCTGTGTAACCCACCATGGAAGGGGACAAGGAGGTTACACAGTAATTTCTAGTGGAGATAGTTCCATCTAATAAACCAAAGCTTTAGCAACATAAATATCAGGTAATTGTATTCCATTTACTGTTGTTTTAGTGTTTTAGTGGTAGCCATGTCAGCTGCAGCTTGACTGTTCTAATAATGCATGCATATTCTTTGAATTCAAGTTTTGTCATTATGTCAAATAGATGTGATAAAATTCATGTATAGGCACAAAAAATTAAAATTAATTAATTAAAGGAAAGCAGAGTTGATATATTTTAAATACCATTTTAACCAATGTAAATATTATATTGGTTATAAAAGTAAATGTTTAAAATCATTGTCACCTACATGTACAAATTTTCTCACCCTTTATAATGATCAAATGTTATACCGTTATTTCAAATGTCATGATCAGGAAATATTATAGCTAATTTCAATCATAAAATGTGTTGTTAAATATTGAGTTCATGGAAGTAAGATCTCAAAATGTTTTTTTAATTTTATTTGGAAGCCTTATGTGATTCAGTAGATCTTATTTTTAATATATTTATAATAATTTAATAATGTAAAGATAATATAATTAGTTTAAGCTCCACATTGACGCACTCAAATTTACTCTAGTTTATCTCATGATCCATAAATCCCTCTATCCTTTGTACCTAACACAGTGGCAAATTTACACTTTTTTCATAATTGCATAATTGCTGTCTCCATTACACAGTAAGATATGGTATGATACATAAAAGAAAGGAATAAGTTTATTTGTTTATATTGGGAGGTGGTTGTTATAGCTTCATTCAAAGTATAGTGCCTTTTGTATTTTACAGGGTATCCCAAAAGTCACCTTACATAGAAATAATGGGAAATTGTAGCTAAATGTGCCTTTATTTACAAAATTATCATTACAAAATTTTACAAATTTTT